CCATTTTGCAATCAAGGCAAGCCATTTTGCAAAGTACGCAGCCATCTTGCAATCAAGAGTGCAGGCTAACCCATTGAGAAAAACAGAAAATACTGGAAAAAATCGAGGCTGTTCCTGTATACTGATGAACTCCTGAATGCACAGCATCCCTAGAGTTACCTTTGAGTACAACTGCTTAATACAGATCTAAATCCTTTTCTGCAATTATTTGATCACTCTGGATCGGGATTTTCCTTACTCCAGCCCCAAACACCCTGACAGATACAGAAGGCAGGTAACATACCTGAGGACACACAGCTCATAAATCACTGGGTTTAGATAACATTAAAGTTCTGTGGAGTTATAAATATCATACACTTTCTGCTCTGCTGGGGTATATAACAAAGTGAAGGGTAATTTCACAGGATTCATTAGACTCTTTCCCCACAGAAGGATCTTTCTGCTAGTCAGGCATCTGTCAACTATTTTGTCCTTTAAGAAGACTGTAAAAGTGTTTTAAAAAAATACAAAACAAATCTCTCTCTTCACAGTATTTTTCCCTTCTAAAACATCACAACTGGTTCTTATTCTGTCCATAATGTCAAGATAACAGGATTTAATTACCAAATTTATACACCACCAGCATGGCATAAATGCTTTGGCCTGGAATAAATAAAATGCAGGGTTTTTTTTAAAGAAAAGAAATGCTATATCAATATGGTGACAGCAGACACAGAGACAACGGTTTTATTTACTGTATCTCCTTGCAGGAACCAGTTAAGTCATTTCAAAGAGATTATTTGGTTTTAATGGCCCAGGATATTAAACATTGCTTTGCCGAGTAACACTGACACTGTACCTCAGGTACAGGAAGAAATCAATTTGAGACATAATGGCTTGATTGGGATCCTCTCTCTTTGTACATTCCCAAAGGGGGACACTTCCATGATCACTCTCCACTTAGGTGGGCTGGTGGTTGGGATATCATAGAGGCAAGCTGTTTAGTTGTCTCACTAGACCTGGGAGAGCCTTCTAGACTGGGACTCAGTAGCAACTTGTAGCCTCTACAATGTGCTCAAGTGTCAGAGAAAGAAGTAAATGAAAGAGAATAGGAAAGTGGGAGAAAGGGTGGGAAAAAGCCAGCGAAGAGACGAGCACATGTGGTGCCAAAGAATTCTATCAACAAAACCCTCCAGCACATGCTTCTCTAAGGCGTTGGGCTGCTTTTGTCTAGACTAAGTCCAAGTTCAAGTTGCAAGAGCCAGGGTCCTCTTTGGTTATGTTGTAGCTGATATGCATGTTGAGATCAAGTAAGAAGTGATTTCTAAACTTACTATCAGATTCCACAGGGCTCTAAGAAATCTCCCATAGAGAACATATGTTTCACCCAAAGCAGTTTTCCTTTGATCTATTTTGTACTTTGGACTTTCACAAAGATTTCCTTTGAAGAAAAAGTTCCATATTTTTTTATGTGTGCGAGCTGAGATGGAACCTGGGGCTTTGCACATGCTAAGCATACGCTCCAGCACTGAGTTACAATCCCAGCAAGAAGGGTTATAATTTTTTTAAAGTTTAGAAACTGAAGATCTAGTTCAATGTCTTCATTTTGCAGAGACTGAGGACTGGAAAGGACAAGTGCAAGTCCGGAGGTAGTCAAAGAGATAGGTGGAGCTGGAACCTGGTCTCAGATTCTTCCTGAAGAGATGAATGCACAGCACCGGATCGGCTGAGTTTTGAACTTCTAATCTCCCCTGAAACAATGATGCTAACCAGTAGCTCTGCCTTGTCTAGCCAGACATGAAAACAGATGTGACCCCATTCCAGATAGAACTTTCTCTTCAATTTACAAAGTAGAGATGCAGTCATTCATTTGGTGTTCCTTGTAAAGTCGGATTGACCAAGTCTCTTCACATGCCACAAGCTCCTGAAGTTTTATACAAGAACCCCACGCTTTTGTATCTTTCCTCACAAATATGAAGGAAGTTACACTGTCCCCAAAGCAGATTGTGGCCTCTTCCCCTCTTTTGTGTTCTACCATGATGTCAACAGTTCCACCGTGCACTCCAAAGCAACAAGGCCAATCATTCATAGGCTCCAAAACTGGCCTCCAAAACTGTGAACCAAAATAAACCTTTTCTCTTGATAAGTTGATTATCTCAGGAAGTTTGTTATAGTAACAGAAAGCTGGCTAACACAATGTAAGAACACATACATAGTGTTTACATTGCAGATATGGAAACAGGAAGATTCTAGAAGACTCCATATATTGGTCAGCTTTTAGAAGAAAAAGAAAAGAACCTGGTTGTGAGGAACACACCTTTGAGAGGAGGCTTCACAGTAGGTCCTAAGCAGTAGTCTGGGTCATATCTTGGCTCTTCCACATAACAGCTCAGCCAACAGGAGTAAATCCTTTAGCCTCTCTAGGACTCTGTTTCCACAGTTGTGTAATGGGAATGACAACAATAGGCCTGAGCTACCAGTTAGGGTAAAAGGGAGGCTGTGTGTGAGCCTGGCACACATAACAGAGGAGACACTCTGATGGCTCCACCATATTCTGAGTTATTTGGTGGAAGTAGCTTAGGAAGAAGGGAGCTGAAATCTTTTGATGAGTCTCAGAGAGACAAGTTACAGGCTAAGCTGCCCTGGAGGACAGACTGGAGTGTGTGTGTGTGTGTGTGTGTGTGTGTGTGTGTGTGTGTGCGCGAGCTGGGAAGGAACCTGTCACATGCTAGGAGGCAGCTCAGGGAAGCCCTTTCTCCTAAAGACAGGCCCAAGAGCTCTGCTTCCTTCTCAGAGCCTCTTTCATGTTGATACGTGTGTGTATCAGAACGACCTCAGAACAGTGGGCCTCTGCCTCTGGAAATGTTCAAGCCAAGGCCATGCAATCAAATGCTCCTCCCATTGGACACAGCAGGGACCAGATGACCCCCACCTGGGTGGTGAACATCTATAGTTCATCCTGGCATGCTCAAGGCCAAGGGCTTCCCAACCAAGGGTAGACTTCAGTCCACAGCACCACCATGAGACAGGTGCTATTGGTAATTGTTTTACAGAGGTCCGTGGATGGGAAATCACTCCCTTAGTTCTTTTTGTGTTAGTCTGACAAAATGCCTGATATCAGGTGCTTACAAAGAAAAGAATTTTCTTTAGCTCACAGTTTTGGGGGTTGAAAGTAAAAAGTCAGGTGGCCCCCATCTGGCTGGTCTCTGGTGAGGGCTTCTGGTTGTGTTACAACATGGTGGATGATGTCGCATATTGAGAGAATGCGCAGAGAGAGGTCACACAGTGAGAGAGGACAGGAGGCTCACCCTTTTATAATAACCCATTCTGAAAGAAATGATTCGACATCTGCAGAGACCTCACCCCGCCGGGAGACCAGCATGAATCTTTCCATGAGTGTGAGCATGACCCAATCACTCCATGAAGTCCCACCTCATGAGGGACCCCCACCACTTTTCAGTACTTCTACACTGGGGACCAGGCTTCCAGCACATAAACCTTTGGGGCACAAACCATATCCAAACCTCAGCAGGTCCTTGCCCAGAGATGCCCAGTTAGTAGAATTCAGAGTCAGAATCCAAACCAAACAGGGAAGCTAACCATTGTTCTGTACCACCCTACCAAGCCAGGGCTCATCCGTTTCCTGCCTGCATGCTGCTACTGACCAGAGCATCAGGTTACAAGGAGGATGGGAGCATGCGGACCTACCCACGTGGGCTGGCAGAGCATGGCAGGCACTACCTTCCAGCTGGGGTGGGGTTGAAGGACTCAAGCTGCTCAAGTCACTGTGACAGTCCTGACACTTGCTGGGGATTCTGGAGCTTCCTCCAGGGGTGCTGTCCAATAGCTGCTTTGCAAGCCCATGTTTTTTTATGTAGGCAACACCTGATCTCCCCAGCACTGCCGGGTGCTCCTCAGCCTTCTCTTCCGAGATATCCGGTCCCTGTATCCTCACTTGGCGTGGGTGTCACCAGCCTTGCTCCTGTTCTCAGCCAGCCCTTGCCCAGCCTTGTCCTGGTATCTCTCTTCCCTCCCTCGCCACACAGGGATCTGAGTCACTGACAGTGAGTGGGTGAGAAGCCGAGAAAGCAAAACTCAAGAAGTAAAAACCCCAAGGGCAGCAACAATTAATATTTAACTTGAAAATTTCCTGGGAACAGATAGTGCAGGCTCTTCATGTGTAAATTGTATGCAAATCATATGCAAACACTCTCCAAACCAAGACACCCTATAACTATTCCATGAACCTGCCTGGGCAGCTCTATGGGTAGCTTGAGAAGCTCTCACATCTCAATCCTGCTCCAGGCAGTACCCCTCAGGACAGAACGCCCGGGCGGGGCCTGCTGCTGACATCGCTCAGGTCACATCACCCCTCCCCTTATCCTCATTTCTTTACCACCATGCTTCTCCTGTCCTACACCCCAAATCCCCTCGCCAGTCCCTAAAACTGTCCTGAAGAATGCCCATGACTTCCTGATGACTAGATCCCAGAGCCTCTCCTTGAGCCTTTTGTCCAGCAGGGGCTAGCACTGCCAGTACCTGCAGCTGCTTGTTCTGTGACACTGGCCACCTGGGGCCCCTCCCTGTGCTGTCTGCCCTTCTCTGGCGCTGGGGCAGAAGCCTGAGTGGACCCCTATCAGCTGCTGTGCAGGTAGATGGTGTCTCTGGGGGATGTGGGCAGGATTTTCCTGGACTTCCGGTTGGTCTACATGTGACAGGAATACAGTTCAGTCCCCTCTCCCTCCCAGATCACCAGAGCCAGCTCCAAGTCTGGAGGAAGGGCCTTCCAGATTGAAGACAGAGGGCCAGATGTCTGTCCCTTTTCCTTCATGGCCTGGGGCTTTCTAGCAGGAAGCAGCCCCCAGATGGGCACTCCTTGCTGCATTTGAACTCTGACTGGGCCCGTGTTGGTCAGCTTTCTTTGAAAAAATACCAGAGAAAGTCAACTTAAAAGAGGAAAGGTTTAGTTTGGCTCATGGCTTCAGAGGTGTCCAAGGTCAACTGGCTCCATTGCTTGTAAGCTTGTGGAGAAGCAGAAACATGGTGGAAAGGCAGGGTGAAGAGGCTGCTCACCTGATGGCATCCAGGAATCAGAGAGGCAGAGAGACTGGAAGGAGAGGGGACAAGATACAGTCCCCAGGGTCATACCTGCATGACCCCTTCCTTCCAAGGCCCCACCTCTGAAAAGACATATTCGTTTCCCCGTCACTGTGACAAAAGCCCAGAACCCACATCTTAAAGGAGGACAGGGTTATTTCCGCTCACCGTTTTCAGAGGATTCAGTCCATGGTCCATTGGTTCCAAGGAGAAATGGCAGGACAGAGAGGCCTGGTGGAGGAAAGCGGCTCAACCCATGGCAGCCAGCAAGCAAGAGGGGGTTGGGGAGAAAAATCCCCCCTCCTAGGTCACACCCTCAGTGACAGGTCCTTCAGCACATTCAGCTGTGAGCTCATCAGTGGACTTCCCACTGATGCGACTACCACCCCCATGATCCAGTCACCTTTCGAACTCTCTGCAGCGGGCTGCGGGGCATTCTCTAAGAGGGCTCTTCGAGGAGCGAGAGTGGGCTGAGATTTAAAAGTCAGAGTGGGGATTTACAATAAAGAAAGAGAGGAGAGAATGTGCTTGGGGCGGGGGTGGCGCTGTGCCCTGGGGCCGCTCCCCCATCTGCACCCCAGGATGTGTGACGTTTGCCCCTTGATTCCATCGACATCATTCATTACATTACTCCCTGTGTCAGGGACCTTCTGTACCCACGGAAGAAGTGCTCATAAGATGAAGTGTGGCCTTACTAACCGCTTCAAGAGGAAAAACTAAAACAGTTACCACATGAAGCACTAGCATAAGGGAATAAGTGAGATAAAAGTGCATCCCATTTTCAGAAGTATTAAAATGTGGGGAGAAGTACGCACCTGAGATCTGGAGAGCTGTAATAGTAAGTGTGTAGTAGCATAATAATAGTGATATAATATATGCTATAGTAGTATAATCATAAAGGGCATTTTACTTTAATTACAACTCAGCTGGCTGAAAAAACAAAACTCACCACATCAGCTCAGGTAAAAAGAGCACAGGGCGCTCTGTGACATTCAGCAGGAAGAGAATGCATGTGGGCCCCAGGACCTGTGCTGGGAACTGAAAGGTCATGGCCAGTGGTGGCTGCCACCCTCCCCATGCCCAAGCTGCACCTTGTTCTCTGCGGACTTGTGTCACACTCCTCTCCACTGCTCACTTCCTCTGCCCATTCAAGCTTTCTTTTGGGATGGGCTCTGTCTCTAACCTTGGCGATGACATTTGCCCTACACACACACACACACACACACACACACACACACCCCTGATTCTAAATCCCAGGGGGTGCTCTGTTATTCTCAGGGTAATGATTTTGCCCTGTATTTCATCACCACCTCCACACTGCAGGAGCAGGAAGAAGGCGTAGACTGAGAATGAACTCAACTGAGTTGAAAATTAAGAAAATTCTGTAATCCTAGCACTCAGGAGGCGGAGGCAGGAGGAGTGTTGCAAGTTCAAGACCAGCCTGAGCTATAATGTGAGCTCAAGAAAACATAGGTTCAAGCAATCTTGCAAGTGTGCCTGGAGGCCTTACGAGACGGCTGCTGTATTAACAGAGGTTAGAAAGTACGGCTCTTGCTGGTCAGGCATTGTGTAACTGGTGCCAGCAAAAATCCAGTTTGGTGAGAAGTGGCTTGGGTGTGGTCTCAGTCTGGGTATTTTCGGGGAAGGGTTGTTGTACAGAAGATCAGCAGAGGTTCACAACGTGTGAGGAAACTGTGGTTTGGCCCAATCCAAAGGACTTGTCCAGTGCAAAGGGTCAGCTGCAGACATAGCTGAGATCTGACTAGCCATGGCCTGCTAGCTCCATCGTGAGTGCCCTGAACCAATGCTACTTCATTTTTACTTTTTTTCCTTGGTAAAACAAAGGCATCTTCCATTCCCATGGCCAAAATTTATCCATAGGAACTGGGTCCATCTTCAAAGGAACCCAGGAAATGCTATCTTGGCTAGGTAGTTCACTAAGGGGTGACCAGCTGTCTCTGACAGTTACTCATCTGTCAGGCAATGGTAGAGGTGGCATGGAGGGAGTGTCCAGAGGGGCCTCGTGGTGGAAAGGTGGCTTCTGGAGTGTTCCCCTCCAGCAGAGCCTGTGAACAGGACTGGGAGCAAGAGTTCAAGGAGCGCAACCCCACCCTGGGCTGAATCCACATCTGCTCTTGCATTGCGCACTACACAGACACTCACGGGGCAATCTACAGGGGTCAAGTTTGTATGTGAAGGCTCTTCCGTGAGTTCTAGGAATGCGTCTTCCTCTCAGTTTCCTGAGAGGGTGGTCAAGCGGATTAGCTGAGGCAAAGTATATAAAGCAAACAGAGTATGTCTAAGACCTCTCATACTGCCAACCATCTGGGAAAGGAGGAGACCAAGGATCAGGAGAGGAGCCTCAGGCTCAAATTTGTGATCCTCCTGCCTCAGCCTCCCAGACTGCTGGGATTACAAGCATGTGACACTACTGGCAGCCCATCTAGGAAGAAAGTTTAGCATTTTCACTGGTTTCCATCTCTGGTGCCTCCCTCGTTCAGGGGCTCCAGTTCTGGATCCTATTTATTCTGCAACCAGCATAATGGAACCTCCTGCTGACACTGGAGATGCTCAATAAATGGGAGAGTTTTCTTTTTAGATTTGAGTGCCCAGAAGTAGAATGGCCAGTGCAGGTGGGGGTGCCCTCTGATCCTGCTCAGTCCAGACACTGGGGCTTTCTTTCTTTGCCTTTTGTGGTTCTTGGGGAAGAGATTCTCCAGTTCTAGGGCACACAGAACTAACTCCCACTCCTGGAGATGCTGGTTTTGGTAAGCCTGGGGGGCCTTCATGATAGGAAATTTTGAGCCAGTAGCTGACTGGTTGAGATTTGAGAAATACTGCAGAAATGGACATGTCTGTGGCTTAAGCTGACTTTTCTCATCAACATAATTATTTCTTAATACAATAATCAATATGGTGCTCCTGGGATACAACTCCTGTTTGCTCTTCCTGTCACGGTCTCCGGGGGCTGGAGGATGGGGCAAGAGTTGTAGGAGCAGAGGCAAGGTGACAGCGGGAGTTCCTTTAGCCATAAAACTTGCACAGCATCTGCAAGCCCAATATTAACTTTTCCCCCTCAAACTTCCATGGAAAGCCAGTGGGTTTTCAACTTAGGCAATATCTGTGGTCATCACAAGGACCAAAATGTGCAGACCAATTGGAGACACTGAGACACTATTAGCAGTATTAAGGCTGGGTAGTAAGCCAAGACTGGGGAGTGCAAAATATCTCTTCAGGGTGCTGAAAAATCCTTTGAGGTCCCAGGTCATGTTGACTTCAATCATTTGGCTGGCCCCAAATGGTACCTGTTGGGTCATCTTTCCTGGAGTAAGATGAGAACCTGAGTACAAACGGCCCAAGCACAGCTTTCCCCAAAGATCCTCCCTCCCATGTCCAGGCACAGGATAGGATCTAAGTTCTCTGAAAATAACATGGGATTTTTTTCTGATCACAGAAGAAATATACAACCATCGTAAGTAGCTTTTTTGAAGGTGTGGAAAAGCACAAAAGAAAAAACAAAAGCCACCTGTAATCCTACCACCCAGAAATAGCCATTATTTACATTTTAGAGTAACACACTACCAGTTTTTCCTATGCATATATTTGCATAAAATTGCATACATCAGATTTGGATTTCACCAAATCCCTTGTTCTGTAACCTGCTTGCTTCACTTAACAGCACATACTGCTTCCCCACACCCTCAAATGTGCTCTGACAACCTCACTTTTAATAGCTCACCATACTCCAGCACATGGATGCACAACAATCTAATGTGAATATTTAGTCTATGTCTAGTTTTTGTTTTTATTTTATTTCTGTTATTATAAACCATATTGTATATTGGCAATGGTTTTCTCAGGATTGATTCTGAGAAGCTAAGTTCTGAAAGGGTTTTGCTTTTGTTTCTAAATTTTAGATGAACATCACCAAATTGTAGATATCAAATAACATTTCAAGAAGGCATAACAAAGACCAGGGACTCAGGTCAGGCTTCAGGCGTGGAGAACAGTGTTGAACAGAGGACAGTCTACATCAAGCTCCATTTCGGACACCATGAAGACATTTACTCGGTCAGCTTGGAATATTAGAACTTTCTCCCCACACCCTATGCCTCCCCTCAAAAAACACCCAAATCCTAAGAATTCCTTAAAAAACTGTAGAAAATTTCCCTTCTCTGATGATATTCAACCCATTTTGGGGATCCTATGCAAATCTTTAGGTGGCCTACAGCAATTATTTCTAAAAACTAGACTTTTGACAGAAGTACATTTAACTTTTTTTTAAATAGCATTTTTAGTGCATGCTATTATCATTGCTACTTATTCAAATGTGTTGATGGTAGAGTGGGTGGAAGGGTGATGTTTGTGTTGGCATGGCAACCGCTGACTGATTGAATTCCCTGTGATGGCTTCTTTGACTTGCATGGGGCCAGAAATGGATTTTTTGCCTCTATGTGTCATGGGCTCATGGTAGAGAAAAGGTTACTCACTGATGATCTAACCCATTTTTATTCCATTTATATTTTTAGTTTGTACCATCTTTTGGGCTAATAAGTTTAACTAGTTTACTTCTCACTCTGTAAGTGTAAGCTTTCTTTTCTACAGTTGCCTCTTTTTGACCGTAAACTAGGACTCCAATTTATTGTCATAACTACTATTGATTGGACCCTTGTTACAGTACCACATACTATACAGGGTACTTTATACAAGTTTTCCCTTTAATCCTTAGAAAACCCTATGATGTGGGTACTACTCTTACCTTTCTTTCCTAAACAGATAAGAAATTAAGATGGCATTTATAAGAATCCAGAAGGATGCAGAGTTTACAAAGATAGGAACCCAGCTCTAGAGGCTAAAGGCTGAACCACTCCTCTACCCACTCTCACCACGAAGACTGTAGGCAGCATCCTCTTCCTGCTGTGGGGATGGATCTCAGATTTGTGGGGTCAGTCCATGGTTAGGCACAAGATTTTCCCCCGTAGTATAGCCCCTGGATGGGGCCTTTCCCAGGTGGTCTAGACTGGAAAAAGTTGGCACCTTAGTCTGTCCTCATGTAAATGTTCCTTCTTTTATTTGCTTGATTTAAGGAACTCTGCAAAGTAAATAAGGTTTTCCCCTCTCTTTTACTGTTTGCACAAATAATAGTCTCTTTGTCTCATCAACTCCCAGTTCTTTCAGCTATAAAATCTAAGCACTAAAAGCTCGCTCATGTGAGGAGTGTAAAGATGGTATAAGTAGACTCTATAGAAGGCCTGTGCACAGGGTCTGGCACATAGTAGGTGCTTACTTGCCTCTGTGGCACATAGTAGGAGCTTACTTGCCTCCGTGCCTCTTCCTGGACTTCTGACGCATTGAGGCTCCCTTGTGGAGCTCCAGGATGACCGTGCTCTCCCTGTCTCCGCACTCCTCCTGACAGCCGGGCACAGACCCGATGGGCTCCTCCAAGGGTCCCTCCAGGCCATGGGCTCATGGCTCTGTGGATCGTAGACTGGTGCTCAGTGGATCATGCCATCCAATGCTTGGTGCTGGAGAAGATGGAGCAGGACCCAGGAGAGCCATGTAGCGGGTGGACACAAGCATGAGAAACCCTCCTGGTGCTCTGGGAAGGGCAACTCTGGCACCAAGAATGAGGGCTGATGCCCCACATGCTGGCTCATTAGTTGTCCAAACTGAGTGAAACACGAAACACTAGTGATGAGTGCCTGGCGACACCCTCAGGGAGGATGGCACAGACGCAGTCACAGAAGAGAGCCATTCTGGGTAACTGGACGCCCGGGTGGGGCCTGGGCTACTACCCTCATGGCTTTATCAGAACTGTGGGCGACACTCTGTACCTCACAGCCTGACCCTGTCATCCATGACAGAAGATCCCAAAGAAGGCTCCTAATGACACAGGACAGACACAATCCACTGCGCACACAACAACTCAGAAAATGTACGATCCCAACACTCTGTAACTACCTAACATGGAAAAAACACGAAAGATACTGCTGCTCAATTTTCTATCACTGGAAACTATGGACCCGAGGTATTCAGCTTCTAAGAACAGCTTGATTTGGACTCAT